GTGAAGGACAGGTACCAAAAAAGAAAAAAGACTATAATAGCTATTATTTGTCCTTACTTTCCTTAATATTTCTTTCACCTTTAGAGTTTTTTTCTTTCGATTTTTCAAATTAAGTTTACTACAAACCTTACGTTCATATAATTTAATTTTAAGATTTGTAAGTACTAATCTATTACTTTTTGTTGTCTTCTAGCAATTTATCACAACTATGCCCTACTTAAGTTTCCCTGTATCATTTCCTCCAAAGACTCAAGTCTACCAAATATTTTTAGATATAATACATAGGCCTAAAAACTTGCAGCAATAATTTATCCTAAATTCTATACAAGGAATATTTTTTTTAAAAAGATACTACTTCAAAGAATTGTCGAATTACACATTTCGCTGTATATTTGCAAGGAGTATTATTATAAATATATGAGAAAGCTTTATCAGTGTAACTACTTAGAACTTAGATTACTTATTCTAAGAAATCATTATATTTTTTTCTCTTTTCTTTCTTTCTTTCTTTATTTATTTTTATTCCACAGATTCAGGTTGTGTTCTTGTCTCTTATTGTTTGCAAATAAAATATATTATTATACCAGTAATACCCGGGTTATATTGGAGTATAATTATCGCATATCTTTAATTTGAAAATAGGGTTGTTCAATTAAATTCTTTTAATATATGGAAATAAATAAAATGTATGTGCTTGTATTACGCTATACTATTCTGGAATATAATTCCAGCACACTTTTGACAGCGTAAATTCGCGTTATTAATTTTTTTCATTAATTTACAATAAATCATATTAAATGTATCAATACTTTAGTAAATAATTTTAGAATATAATTTCCATGTTTCTATGATTTTTGAAACACAGGACTGAATGTACATAAATAAAAATGAAGCAAAATTTTGAAACAAATGAAACTGAATAACTATTGAATGCATGGGTTGTAGAGTATACAATATTTTAACTTCCATAGTTAGATGGTAAAAGTTCCAGATCTGTTGTTTTGTGGAAAGCTTAAATGCAATTATCTTTTTATATAAAAGATGTTGATAACCATGTCTGACGAAGAAGAAAAAAATGAAAAATTAAAAAAAATTGAGGGGCTAATTCGGAATTGTGAGCTCGGTTTTAACTCAAGGAATTCAAACAATTGGTAAAATTTTAGAGCATAGGTTAGGATATATATTAATGGAATTTCGAGAATATTTGTAATAAATACAAAGACCTCCTATAACTATAAAAGATGCCGAAATAAGTCATTTTCGCAATACAACAGTTGAAAATGATCGAAAAGACATGACGTTCAATGCCTTAATGTGGAATCAGAGATTTTACATTAGATTAAACGAGTTTTTTAAGAGAAAATTTAAAAATTATTGTCGAATAGTTTATGAAAATAACAGTTTCAAAACAACTAAATAAAAATTGATTAATTTTTTATGATCTTCTTCTTATTTTTATAAATTTATTATTATTATTTTTTTAAATTTTTCATACAATCACTTAGGTTTTATTCAAAAATTACAAAATAACTAAATAAACTACATAATAATGCTTTGTGTAAAATTAACATGAAAAGAGCAATTTTTTCCTCTTATTCTTACAAAATTTTTATTGGTTAACAATAAAGCGCATGTTTTTTTTTTTTTTTTCCTCTANTTGTAAGAGAGAAAGATTGATCAAGTGACAAATTGAATTTAATAACTATGAAAATTAAAAGAAAAGTTTGAAAATTATTTTAATTTAAAATAATATAAAAACAGTTAAAATAATAAAGTTTTGAGTTTTTTCAAAAATATTTTTTATCTATTTATTGCCAATTGCGGAAGTAATTTATTTTAATCTAATGGTATTTAACCGAAGGCTAAAATTATATTACGGTATTGCTATAGAATTACTTATGTAAAATAAATTCCATCCTCAACATCCTCAGTGAAAAACTAATTGTAAACACATTCTTTGTTAGCATATTTGCATATAAAACAATGATTATATTGCTATTAATTTTAAAAAATATGTGATTAAATTGATGAACTAAAAATTTATCTTATTTTTATTTATTTAGGAAAACGCATTGGACGTGTTTTGTGATTAATATTTCGTAATTTTATTATTCATCCTGTTAATAACATAATTATAAGTCGTACTTTTGTTTAGTAACAAATGTGGAATTAGAGTCTTTACAGATAAAATAATAATTAAACTGCAAAAAAAGGAATTATGTATTGAAATAAAAAAAAGGGGGGAAATTGTTTTCGGTTAGGTAAATAAGAGGCGTGTCCACAAAACATGCAAATCATCCAATGACGAGGAGATAGGAGGAGTTAAGGAAGTATTCTTTGTTCCCCTAACTTTTTATTTTGTCTCTTTGACCTTTTAACGACAAATTATATACTAACCAGAACTATTAACAATTTTTTAAATTTAAACGAATTCCAAAAAAAACTGTATTCTTAATTGCATTTTCTATTGTTTTTAAATCTCCTTTTTTTTCAAATTTCACGGAGAAAAATTTTAAAAATCAAAAAAAATCACATACTTGCCTTTTGCTAATTTTTTCTCGTAAAAAAAAAAAGACAAAATAAATGTATGAATATGGAAACAGCTACTTGTTTCAAAATTAAACATTTAATTTAGTTAAAAAAAATATTTGAAATTAAGGAAGAATTTACCTACTTAGAAATAGGTGATTTTTTTCAAACATTTTTTTACAAAAAAAGTCTTATAGTTTTTTTTTTTAAAGTTTTTCTTATTAATAAATCAAAAATAAATAATCGAGTTTTAAAAATTGTCTGTAGAGTAAGTTTTTAATCTATTTTCCGCCACATTTTATGCTTGCAACAATGTAGAACATAAAGCGGAAAATGAAATAGTAGTTGATGAAAATGAAATAGCGGAAAATGAAATAGTAATCCCTCAATTATGCATGCAAAAGGTAGTGTTATTTGACGAATAAAGTATATCACAAGGAATAACTTTAGAGTGTAAATAAAAGTAATGCACATTTTTATTTATTTTTCAATACCCATATTTTCTAAAATAAATCTTGAATTCTCCTTTATTCATAAATAAGACATAAACTCCCATATGTTTAAAAATGAATCATAAGTTCTCATATGTTCAAAAATAATCATATGCTTTCGTGTCTTCAGAATAAACCATTTGTTCACAAATAAACCTTAAGCTTATACTCATTTTCTTCCATTGCACTAAACAGTGTTTAATTTCTTTTTTCTTGTAATCTTAGGAGTTGTAAACGTTTTCATTTTCCTTAAAAGAATTTTTATATGCATTTATTCACTTATGCATTTATTTATCTTTTAAATCTTGTTCTGTCCATTTCTACGCTGTTAATCAATCATTGATGCGCTTCTCTTGGTAAACTGTTAGCTAACTTAACAATTAGTTAACAATGATAACCGCTTAGTTCTGCATCAATTGATTTTTCGTGATGCTTCCAAGAATTCATTTTCTGCGTCTCTTCTTAGAGTATCAATTCTATTTGAAGATCACGTTTTAATTCCGAATTTCTAAAAAGGGATTAATTAATTACTTATCTTAATACTATAGATTATTAATATTTTTTTGAATTCTAAATCAAAATCATGAAAGTCATTCAGCCTTTAAAATTCTCAATACATTAACATGAATAAAAATTTCAAGAACAGTTCATAATTTATACAAGTCATTTATAATTCAAAGGTTTTCATCAATTTAGATTTTGTTACATATTCTGAAGTTTGGTAAGCAGCGATATACGATGTGGAATTAATTTTTCACACACACACACACACACATATATATACATATATATACATATATATAAGACGTGTTTTA